ATGCATAATTACTAATTATACATTTTCTAGACAGTTTTTTATCTTTTCTTTCTTTACCATTATGGGATGTGGCAGAGTTACTATTATACATTTCTGAACAGTTTCTTATCTTTTTTCTTTCTTTACTTTAATATTATGGGATGTGGCAGAGTTACTATTATACATTTCTGAACAGTTTCCTTATCTTTTCTTTCTTTACCTTAATATTATGGGATGTGGCAGAGTTACTATTATACATTTCTGAATAGTTTATTTATCTTTTCTTTCTTTACCTTAATATTATGGGATGTGGCAGAGTTACTATTATACATTTCTGAACAGTTTCCCTTATCTTTTCTTTCTTTACCTTAATATTATGGGATGTAGCATAGTTACTATTATACATTTTCTGAACAGTTTCCTTATCTTTTCTTTCTTTACCTTAATATTATGGGATGTGGCATAGTTACTATTATACATTTCTGAACAGTTTCCTTATCTTTTCTTTCTTTACCTTAATATTATGGGATGTAGCATAGTTACTATTATACATTTCTGAACAGTTTCTTATCTTTTCTTTCTTTACCTTAATATTGTGGGATGTGGCAGGTTACTATTATACATTTCTGAACAGGTTCCTTATCTTTTCTTTCTTTACCTTAATATTATGGGATGTAGCATAGTTACTATTATACATTTCTGAACAGTTTCATATCTTTTCTTTCTTTACCTTAATATTATGGGATGTGGCAGAGTTACTATTATACATTTCTGAACAGTTTTCTTATCTTTTTCTTTCTTTACCTTAATATTATAGGATGTAGCAGTTACTATTATACATTTCTGAACAGTTTCTTATCTTTTCTTTCTTTACCTTAATATTATGGGATGCCTGCATATTACTGTATATACATTTCTAACAGTTTCATATCTTTTCTTTCTTTACCTTAATATTATGGGATGTGGCAGAGTTACTATTATACATTTCTGAACAGTTTCTTATCTTTTCTTTCTTTACCTTAATATTATAGGATGTAGCATAGTTACTATTATACACATTTTCTGAACAGTTTCTTATCTTTTCTTTCTTTTACCTTAATATTATGGGATGTAGCATAGTTACTATTATACATTTCTGAACAGTTTCCTTATCTTTTCTTTCTTTACCTTAATATTATGGGATGTGGCAGAGTTACTATTATACATTTCTGAACAGTTTCCTTATCTTTTCTTTCTTTACCTTAATATTATGGGATGTAGCATAGTTACTGTATACATTTCTGAACAGTTTCCTTATCTTTTCTATTATGGGTCTTTACCTTAATATTATGGGATGTGGGATGCAGCAGTTACTATTATACACATTTCTGAACAGTTTCCTTATCTTTTCTTTCTTTACCTTAATATTATAGGATGTAGCATAGTTACTGTATACATTTCTGAACAGTTTCCTTATCTTTTCTTTCTTTACCTTAATATTATGGGATGTGGCAGAGTTACTATTATACATTTTTCTGAACAGTTTCTTATCTTTTTTCTTTCTTTACCTTAATATTTATGGGATGTAGCATAGATTACTATTATACATTTCTGAACAGTTTCATATCTTTTCTTTCTTTACCTTAATATTATGGGATGTGGCAGAGTTACTATTATACATTTCTGAACAGTTTCATATCTTTTCTTTCTTTACCTTAATATTATGGGATGTGGCAGAGTTACTATTATACATTTCTGAACAGTTTCCTTATCTTTTCTTTCTTTACCTTAATATTATGGGATGTAGCATAATTTACTATTATACATTTCTGAACAGTTTCTTATCTTTTCTTTCTTTACCTTAATATTATGGGATGTGGCAGTGTTACTATTATACATTTCTGAACAGTTTCCTTATCTTTCTTTCTTTACGTAATAATATTGTGGGATGTAGCATAGTTACTATTATACATTTCTGAACAGTTTCCTTATCTTTTCTTTCTTTTACCTTAATATTATGGGATGTGGCAGAGTTACTATTATACATTTCTGAACAGTTTTCTTATCTTTTCTTTCTTTACCTTAATATTATGGGATGTAGCATAGTTACTATTATACATTTCTGAACAGTTTCCTTATCTTTTCTTTCTTTACCTTAATATTTATGGGATGTGGCAGAGTTACTATTATACATTTCTGAACAGTTTCCTTATCTTTTCTTTCTTTACCTTAATATTATAGGATGTGGCATAGTTACTATTATACATTTCTGAACAGTTTCTTATCTTTTCTTTCTTTACCTTAATATTATGGGATGCATAGTTACTATTATACATTTCTGAACAGTTTCATATCTTTTCTTTCTTTTACCTTAATATTATGGGATGTGGCATAGTTACTATTATACATTTCTGAACAGTTTCCTTATCTTTCTTTCTTTACCTTAATATTGTGGGATGTGTAGCATACATTCTGTTACAGTTTCCTTATACATTTCTTTACCTTAATAATATTATGGGACAGTTTCATTTCTGAACAGTTTCCTTTCTTTTTTACCTTAATAATATTATGGGATGTGGCAGATTTACTATTATACATTTCTGAACAGTTTCCTTATCTTTTCTTTCTTTACCTTAATATTATGGGATGTGGCAGAGTTACTATTATACATTTCTGAACAGAACAGTTTCTTATCTTTTCATTTTCTTTACCTTTAATATTATAGGATGTGGCAGAGTTACTATTATACATTTCTGAACAGTTTCCTTATCTTTTCTTTCTTTACCTTAATATTATGGGATGTGGCATAGTTACAATTATACATTTTCTGAATGGTTTCCTTTCTTTTCTTTTCTTTATCTTTACTATACTTAATAATATTATGGGATGTGGCATAGTTACTACTATACATTTCTGAACAGTTTCTTATCTTTTCTTTTCTTCTTTGTAATATTATGGGATGTAGCATAGTTACTATTATACATTTCTGAACAGTTTCCTTATCTTTTTCTTTCTTTACCTTAATATTATGGGATGTGGCAGAGTTACTGTATACATTTCTAGACAGTTTCCTTATCTTTCTTTCTTTACCTTAATATTATGGGATGTGGCACAGTTTCCTTATCTTTTCTTTCTATTATATACATTTCTGAACAGTTTCATATCTTTTCTTTCTTTACCTTAATATTATGGGATGTGGCAGAGTTACTGTTATACATTTCTAGACAGTTTCATATCTTTTCTTTCTTTTACACCTTAATATTATGGGATGTAGCATAGTTACTATTATACATTTCTGAACAGTTTCTTATCTTTCTTTCTTTTACCTTAATATTATGGATGTAGCATAAGTTACTATTATACATTTCTGAACAGTTTCATATCTTTTCTTTCTTTACCTTAATATTACTTAGGATGTGGCAGAGTTACTATTATACATTTCTGAACAGTTTCCTTATCTTTTCTTTCTTTACCTTAATATTGTGGGATGTAGCATAGTTACTATTATACATTTCTGAACAGTTTCCTTATCTTTTCTTTCTTTACCTTAATATTATGGGATGTGGCAGAGTTACTATTATACATTTCTGAACAGTTTCTTATCTTTTCTTTCTTTACCTTAATATTATGGGATGTGGCAGAGTTACTATTATACATTTCTGAACAGTTTCCTTGGGATGTCTTTTCTTTCTTATCTTTCTTTCCTTAATATTATGGGATGTGGCATAGTTACTATTATACATTTCTGAACAGTTTCATTTTATCTTTTCTTTCTTTACCTTAATATTATGGGATGTGGCAAGAGTTACTGTTATACATTTTCTGAACAGTTTCCTTATCTTTTCTTTCTTTACCTTAATATTGTAGGATGCTTAACATGTAGTTACTATTAGCATTTCTGAACAGTTTACTTATCTTTTCTTTCTTTACCTTAATATTATGGGATGTGGCAGATTTTCTATTATACATTTCTGAACAGTTTCCTTATCTTTTCTTTCTTTACCTTAATATTATAGGATGGCAGAGTTACTGTATACATTTCTGAACAGTTTCCTTATCTTTTCTTTCTTTACCTTAATATTATGGGATGTAGCATAGTTACTATTATACATTTCTGAACAGTTTCTTATCTTTCTTTCTTTACCTTAATATTATGGGATGTGGCAGAGTTACTAATATACATTTCTGAACAGTTTCCTTATCTTTCTTTCTTTACCTTAATATTATAGGATGTAGCATAGTTACTATTATACATTTCTGAACTGATTTCCTTATCTTTTCTTTCTTTACCTTAATATTATAGGATGTAGCATGGTTACTATTATACATTTTCTGAACATTTCCTTATCTTTTCTTTCTTTACCTTAATATTATGGGATGTGGCATAGTTACTATTATACATTTTCTGAACAGTTTCCTTATCTTTTCTTTCTTTTACCTTAATATTGTAGGATGTAGCATAATATAATATACATTTCTGAACAGTTTCATATCTTTTCTTTCTTTACCTTAATATTATAGGATGTGGCATAGTTACTATTATACATTTCTGAACAGTTTCCTTATCTTTTTCTTTCTTTACCTTAATATTATAGGATGTGGCATAGTTACTGTTATACATTTTCTGAACAGTTTCATATATCTTTTCTTTTCTTTACCTTAATATTATAGGATGTAGCATAGTTACTGTATACATTTCTGAACAGTTTTCTTATCTTTTCTTTCTTTACCTTAATATTGTGGGATGTAGCAGCATAGTTACTATTATACATTTTGAACAGTTTCCCTTATCTTTTCTTTCTTTTACCTTAATATTATAGGATGTAGCTAGTTACTATTATGCATTTTCTGAGACAGTTTCATATCTTTTTCTTTTCTTTTACCTTAATATTATAGGATGTGGCAGAGTTACTATTATACATTTCTGAACAGTTTCCTTATCTTTTTCTTTCTTTTACATAATATTATGGGATGTGGCATAGTTACTATACATTTTCTGAACAGTTTCCTTATCTTTTCTTTCTTTACCTTAATATTATAGGATGTGGCAGAGTTACTGTTATACATTTCTGAACAGTTTCTTATCTTTTCTTTCTTTACAGCAATATTATAGGATGTGGCAGAGTTACTATTATACATTTTCTGAACAGTTTCCTTATCTTTTCTTTCTTTACCTTAATATTATAGGATGTAGCATAGTTACTATTATACATTTTCTGAACAGTTTCCTTATCTTTTCTTTCTTTACCTTAATATTATAGGATGTGGCAAGAGTTACTATTATACATTTCTGAACAGTTTCCTTATCTTTCTTTCTTTACCTTAATATTATGGGATGTAGCATAGTTACTATTATACATTTCTGAACAGTTTCATATCTTTTCTTTCTTTGCATATATTATAGGATGTGCATGAGTTACTGTTATACATTTCTGAACAGTTTCCTTGTCTTTTCTTTCTTTACTGCTTAATATTATGTGGGATGTGGCAAGAGTTACTATTATACATTTCTGATTAGTTTCTTATCTTTTCTTTTTCTTTTACCTTAATATTATAGGATGTGGAAGAGTTACTATTATACATTTCTGAACAGTTCCTTATCTTTCTTTCTTTACCTTAATATTATGGGATGTGCATAGTTACTATTATACATTTCTGAACAGTTTTTATCTTTTTTTCTTTTACCTTAATATTTATGGGATGTATAGCATAGTTACTATTATACATTTCTGAACAGTTTTCCTTATCTTTTCTTTCTTTACCTTAATAATATGGGGGATGTAGCATAGTTACTATTATACATTTCTAGACAGTTTCATATCTTCTTTCTTTACCTTAATATTATGGATGTGCATAATTTACTATTATACATTTCTGAACAGTTTCTTATCTTTTTCTTTCTTTACCTTAATATTATAGGATGTTGCAGAGTTACTATTATACATTCTGAACAGTTTCCTTATCATTCTTTCTTTACCTTAATATTATGGGATGTGGCAGAGTTACTACTATACATTTTTCTGAACAGTTTCTTATCTTTTCTTTCTTTACCTTAATATTATGGGATGTGGCAGAGTTACTATTATACATTTTCTGAACAGTTTCATATCTTTTCTTTCTTTACCTTAATATTATGGGATGTAGCATAATTTACTATATACATTTCTGAACAGTTTCCTTATCTTTTTTTGTCTTTACATTAATATTATGGGATGTGGCAGAGTTGCTATTATACATTTTCTGAACAGTTTCCTTATCTTTTCTTTCTTTACCTTAATATTATAGGGATGTAGCATAATTACTATTATACATTTCTGAATTAGTTTCATATCTTTTCTTTCTTTACTGTAATATTATGGGATGTGGCTGAAGTTACTATACATTTTCTGAACAGTTTCCTTATCTTTTCTTTTTTTACCTTAATATTATAGGTTGTGGCAAGTTGCTGTTATACATTTCTGAACAGTTTTCTTTATCTTTTCTTTCTTTACCTTAATATTGTAGGATGTGGCAGAGTTACTATTATACATTTCTGAACAGTTTCATATCTTTCTTTCTTTACCTTAATATTTTTCTTTTAACCTGCATTTCTGAACAGGATAGCATAGTTACTAATATTGTAGGATGTAGCATAGTTGCATGTACATTTTCTGAACAGTTTCCTTTATCTTTTTCTTTACCTTAATATTGTAGGATGTGTAGTTACTATTATACATTTCTGAACAGTTTTTTATCTTTTCTTTCTTTACCTTAATATTATGGGATGTGGCAGGTTACTGTATACCATTTCTGGAACAGTTCCTTATCTTTTCTTTCTTTACCTTAATATTGGGATGTACTTATATTACTATTATACATTTCTGAACAGTTTCCTTATCTTTTCTTTCTTTACCCTTAATATTATGGGATGTGGCATAGTTACTATTATACATTTCTGAACAGTTTTCCTTATCTTTTCTTTCTTTACCTTAATATTATGGGATGTGATGTGGCAGAGTTACTATTATACATTTCTGAACAGTTTCCTTATCTTTTCTTTCTTTACCTTAATATTAAGGATGGGATGTAGCATAGTTACTATTTATACATTTTCTGAACAGTTCCTTATCTTTTCTTTTCTTTCCAGGTTACTTATACTTTTGAACAGTTTCTTATTTTCTTTTACCTTAATATTATGGGATGTAGCAGAGTTACTATTATACATTTGAAGACGGTTTCCTTATCTTTTCTTTCTTTACCTTAATATTATGGGATGCTTGGCATAGTTACTATTATACATTTTCTGAACAGTTTCCTTATCTTTCTTTCTTTTACCTTAATATTATGGGATGTGCAGAGTTACTATTATACATTTCTAATTCAGTTTCCTTATCTTTTCTTTCTTTACCTTAATATTGTGGGATGTGCATAGTTACTATTATACATTTTCTGAACAGTTTTTATCTTTCTGCTCTTTACCTTAATATTATGGGTTTTCCTGAGTTACTGGCCATACATTTCTGAACAGTTTCATATCTTTTCTTTCTTTTACCTTAATATTGTAGGATGCCAACATAGTTACTATTATACATTTCTAGACAGTTTCCTTATCTTTTCTTTCTTTTACCTTCAATATTGGGGATGTGGCAGAGTTACTATTATACATTTCTGAACGGTTTCATATCTTTTCTTTTCTTTTGTAATATTGTGGGATGTAGCATAGTTACTATTATACATTTCTGAACAGTTTCCTTATCTTTTCTTTTCTTTACCTTAATATTATGGGATGTAGCATAGATTACTGTATACATTTCTGAACAGTTTCTTATCTTTTCTTTCTTTACCTTAATATTATAGGATGTGGCAGAGTTACTATTATACATTTCTGAACAGTTTCCTTATCTTTCTTTCTTTACCTTAATATTATGGGATGTGCTTAATATTATGGGAGAGTTACTATTATACATTTCTGAACAGTTTCCTTATCTTTCTTTCTTTTATCTTTCTTTCCTTAATATTATGGGATGTGGCATAGTTACTATTATACATTTCTGAACAGTTTCCTTATCTTTTTCTTTCTTTTACCTTAATATTATAGGATGTAGCATGAATTACTATTATATACATTTCTGAACAGTTTCCTTATCTTTCTTCTTTGTAATATTATGGGATGTTACATTTCTAGACTTTTCTTTTTTCTTTACCTTAATATTATGGGATGTAGCATAGTTACTATTATACATTTCTGAACAGTTTCCTTATCTTTTCTTTCTTTTTTACCTTATGTTATGGGATCTTTCTTTCTTTGGGATGTGAGTTACTATTATACATTTCTGAACAGTTTCCTTATCTTTTCTTTCTTTACCTTAATATTATGGGATGTGGCATAGTTACTATTATGCATTTCTGAACAGTTTCATATCTTTTCTTTCTTTACCTTAATATATAGGATGTGGCAGAGTTACTATATACATTTCTGAACAGTTTCCTTATCTTTTCTTTCTTTACCTTAATATTATGGGATGTGGCATAGTTACTATTATACATTTTCTGAACAGTTTCCTTATCTTTCTTTCTTGCCTTAATATTATGGGATGTGGCATAGTTACTCTTGCCATTTCTGAACAGTTTTCTTGTCTTTTCTTTCTTTGTAATATTGTAGGATGTAGCATAGTTACTATTACATTTCAGACAGTTTCATATCTTTTCTTTTCTTTACCTTAATATTATAGGATGTAACTTGATTACTATTATACATTTCTAACAGTTTTATCTTTTTTCTTTACATAATATTGTAGGATGTGGCAGATTTACTATTGCCATTTCTGAACAGTTTCTTATCTTTTCTTCTTTTACCTTATGTGTATGGGATACCATAGTTTTTATTATACATTTTTCTGAACAGTTTCTTATCTTTTCTTTCTTTTACATTCTTTATAGGATAGCATAGTTGCTATTATACATTTCTGAACAATTTCCTTATCTTTTCTTTCTTTACCTTAATATTGGGATGTGGCAAGTTACTATTATATTTTTCTGAACAGTTTCATGTCTTTTCTTTTCTTTACCTTATTGATTATGGGATGTGGCACTAGTTGCTATTATACATTTTCTGAACAGTTTCCCTTATCTTTTCTTTCTTTATGTTGTTATTAGGATGTGGCTGAATTACTGTTACATTTTTGAACAGTTTCCTTATCTTTTCTTTCTTTACCTTAATATTATAGGATGTGATTACTGGTATACATTTCTGATTTTCATATATACATTTTCTAGGAACAGTTTTCATTTCTGAACAGTTTCATATCTTTTCTTTCTTTACCTTAATATTGTAGGATGTAGCAGTGTTACTATATACATTTCTGAACAGTTTCCTTATCTTTTCTTTATTTACCTTAATATTATGGATGTGGCATAGTTACTGTATGCATTTCTGAACAGTTTCTTTATCTTTTCTTTCTTTACCTTAATATTGTGGGATGTAGCATAGTTGCTATTATACATTTCCTGAGAACAGTTTCCTTATCTTTTCTTTCTTTACCTTATTATTATGGGATGTGGCAGAGATTACTATTTATTCTGAACAGTTTCCTTATCTTTTCTTTCTTTACCTTATGTATAGGATGTACTTAAGTTACTATTACATTTCTGAACAGTTTCATCTTTCTTTCTTTACCTTAATATTATGGGATGTAGAGTTACTATTATACATTTTCTAGTTTTCCTTATCTTCTTTTTTACCTTATTATTGTAGGATGTAGCAGAGATTACTATATACATTTCTAGACAGTTTCCTTATCTTTTCTTTCTTTACCTTAATGTTATGGGATGTGGCAGAGTTACTATTATACATTTCTGAACAGTTTCTTTATCTTTTCTTTCTTTTTTAATATTATGGGATGTGGCAGAGTTACTATTATACATTTCTGAACAGTTTCCTTATCTTTCTTTCTTTACCCTTAATATTATTGGGATGTGGCAGAGTTACTATTATACATTTCTGAACAGTTTCTTTATCTTTCTTTCTTTACCTTAATATTATGGGATGTGGCAGAGTTACTATTATACATTTCTGAACAGTTTTCTTATCTTTTTCTTTCTTTACCTTATGTTTATGGGATGTGGCAGGTTACTATTATACATTTCTGAACAGTTTCCTTATCTTTTTTCTTTACCTTAATATTGTGGGATGTAGCAGGTTACTATGTATACATTTTGAACAGTTTCTTATCTTTTTTCTTTTACCTTAATATTGTGGGATGTGGCAGGTTACTGTTATACATTTCTGAACAGTTTCCTTATCTTTTCTTTCTTTACCTTAATGTGTAGGATGTACCATATTACTATTATACATTTCTGAACAGTTTCCTTATCTTTCTTTCTTTACCTTGTAATATTATAGGATGTGGCAGAGTTACTATTATACATTTTCTGAACAGTTTCATGCATCTTTCTTTCTTTACCTTAATATTATGGGATGTAGCATAGTTACTATTATACATTTCTAGACAGTTTCTTATCTTTTTTTTTTACCTTAATATTGTAGGATGTGGCAGAAGTTACTATTATACATTTCTGAACAATTTCCTTTTCTTTCTTTTACCTTAATATTGTGGGATGTAGAAATTACTAATACCATTTTTCTGAACAGTTTTCCTTGTCTTTTCTTTCCTTTACCTTAATATATAGGATGGCAAGTTACTATTATACATTTCTGAACAGTTTCCTTATCTTTTCTTTCTTTACCTTAATATTATGGGATGTAGCATAGTTATAGTTACTAGTTTCTTACCTTTTTCTTTCTTACATTTCTAGTTACTATATACAGTTTCCTTATCTTTTCTTTCTTTACCTTAATATTATGGGATGTGGCAGAGTTACTATTATACATTTCTGAACAGTTTTCTTTTCTTTTCTTTTCTTTACCTTAATTTTATAGGATGTATCTTTTCTTTCTTTTAGTTACTATTATATACATTTCTGAACAGTTTTCCTTATCTTTTCTTTCTTTACCTTAATATTATGGGATGTTACTATTATACATTCTGAACAGTTACTATTATACATTTTCTGAACAGTTTCCTTATTTCTTTCTTTCTTTACCTTAATATTGGAGATGTGGCGATTACTATTATACATTTCTGAACAGTTTCCTTGTCTTTCTTTACCTTAATATTATGGGATGTTAACATAGTTACTGTATACATTTTCTGAACAGTTTTCATATCTTTTCTTTCTTTACCTTAATATTATGGGATGTGGCAAATTACTATTGTACATTTTCTGAACAGTTTCCTTATCTTTTCTTTCTTTTACCTTAATATTATAGGATGTATATAGTTTCTATTATACATTTCTGAACAGTTTCCTTATCTTTTCTTTCTTTACCTTAATATTATAGGATGTGGCAAGTTATATTATACATTTCTGAACGGTTTCCTTATCTTTTCTTTTTACCTTATAGGATATAGTTACTATTTACATTCTGAACAGAACTTTACCTTAATGTGGCTTTAGATTTGCTATTATACATTCTAGACAGTTTCACTCCTCTTTTCTTTGCTTTACCTTGTAATATTATAGGATGTGGCAAGTTACTATTATACATTTCTGACAGTTTTCTTATCTTTTCTTTTCTTTACCGTAATATTATGGGATATAACATAGTTACTATTATACATTTCTAAACAGTTTCCTTATCTTTCTTTCTTTACCTTAATAATATTGTAGGATGTGGCAGAGTTACTGTATACATTTCTAGACAGTTTTGTATCTTTTCTTTTTCTTTACCTTAATATTATGGGATGTGCAATTACTATTATACATTTCTGAACAGTTTCTTATCTTTTCTTCTTTTACCTTAATGTGTGGGATGTGGCAGAGTTACTATTGCCATTTCTGAACAGTTTCCTTATCTTTTCTTTCTTTACCTTAATATTATAGGATGTAGCATAGTTACTATTATACATTTCTGAACAGTTTTCATATCTTTTCTTTCTTTTACCTTAATATTATAGATATGGCAAATTACTATTGCTGTATACATTTCTGAACAGTTTCCTTATCTTTTCTTTCTTTTACCTTAATATTATGGGATGTGGCAGAGTTACTATTATACATTTCTGAACAGTTTCCTTATCTTTTCTTTTCTTTACCTTAATATTATGGGATGTGCTTGAGTTACTGTATACATTTCTGAACAGTTTCCTTATCTTTTCTTTCTTTACCTTAATATTATGGGATGTGAGTTACTATTAGCCTAGTTTCTTACATTTCTATGGACAGTTTTTTCTGAACAGTTTCCTTATCTTTTTTTCTTTACCTTAATATTATGGGATGTGGCATAGTTACTATTATACATTTCTGAATTGGTTTCCATATCTTTTTCTTTCTTTACCGTAATATTTATGGGATGTGGCAGAGTTACTATTATACATTTCTGAACAGTTTTCCTTATCTTGCTTTTCTTTTACCTTAATATTATGGGATGTAGCAGAGTTACTATTATACATTTCTAGACAGTTTCCTTATCTTTTCTTTCTTTGCAGCAATATTATGGGATACAACATAGTTACTATTATACACATTTCTGAACAGTTTCTTATCTTTTCTTTCTTTTAACCTTATGGGATGTATTAGTTACTATTATACATGAACAGTTATCTTTTCTTTCTTTACCTTAATTTATGGGATGTGGCAAGTTACTTATTTACATTTCTTTTCCTTATCTTTTCTTTCTTTACCTTAATATTTATGGGATGTGGCAAGTTATATTATACATTTCTGAACAGTTTCCTTATCTTTTTTCTTTACCTTAATATTATGGGATGTACTTTAGTGTTACTATTATACATTTTTCTGAACAGTTTTCCATATTTTTCTTTCTTTACCTTAATATTATGGGATGTATAGTTACTATTATACATTCTGAACAGTTCCTTATCTTTTCTTTCTTTACCTTAATATTATAGGATGTGGCAAGTTACTATCATACATTTCTGAGCAGTTTCCTTATCTTTCTTTCTTTACCTTGTTATTATGGGATGTGGCATAGTTACTGTATACATTTCTGAACAGTTTCCTTATCTTTTCTTTCTTTTACCTTAATATTATGGGATGGCATAGTTACTATTATACATTTTCTGAACAGTTTCATATCTTTCTTTTTACCTTATTATAGGATGTAGCATAGTTACTATTATACATTTCTGAACAGTTTCTTATCTTTTTCTTTCTTTACCTTAATATTGTAGGGATGCAACATACTGTATACATTTCCTGAACAGTTTCATATCTTTCTTTCTTTTACCTTAATATTGTGGGATGTGGCAGAGTTACTATTATACATTTCTGAACAGTTTTCCTTTCAACTTTCTTTTACCTATATTATAGGATGTAGCTTGCGTTACTATTACCATTTCTGAACAATTTCCATATCTTTTCTTTCTTTACCTTAATGTTATTGGGATGTGCATGGATTTACTGTATACATTTTCTGAACAGTTTCCATGTCTTTTCTTTTTCTTTTGTAATATTATGGGATGTGGCAGAGTTACTATTGTATTTCTAGACAGTTTCTTATCTTTTCTTTTTTACCTTTATATTATTATGGGATGTAGCATAGTTACTGTATACATTTCTGAACAGTTTCTTATCTTTTCTTTCTTTACATTTTATATTTGTGGGATGTGGCAGAGTTACTATTATACATTTCTGAACAGTTTCCTTATCTTTTCTTTTTTACCTTAATAATTGTGGGATGTGGCATAGATTTTTACTATACATTTCATTGATTTCTTATCTTTTCTTTTCTTTACCTTAATATTATTGGGATGTGGCATAGTTACTATATACATTTCTAACAGTTTCCTTATCTTTTCTTTCTTTTGCCTTATTATTGTAGGATGTGGCATAGTTGCTGTTATACATTTCTGAACAGTTTCTTATCTTTTCTTTCTTTACCTTAATATTATGGGATAGCAGAGTTACTATTATACATTTCTGAACAGTTTCCTTATCTTTTCTTTCTTTACATATGTATTATAGGATGTGGCAAATTTACACTATATACTTTTCTGAACAGTTTCATATCTTTTCTTTCTTTACCTTAATATTATAGGATGTAGCATAGTTACTGTGCCATTTTGAACAGTTTCTTATCTTTTCTTTCTTTACCCTTAATTATTATAGGATGTGGCAGTTACTATTATACATTTCTGAACAGTTTCCTTATCTTTTCTTTCTTTACCTTAATGTATAGGATGTAGCATAGTTGCTATTATACATTTCTGAACAATTTTCCTTATCTTTCTTTCTTTACCTTAATATTATAGGTATAGCATAGTTACTATTATACATTTCTGAACAGTTTCATATCTTTTCTTTCTTTACCTTAATATTATAGGATGTGCAGAGTTACTGTATACATTTCTGAACAGTTTCTTATCTTTTCTTTTTTCTTTGCCTTAATATTATGGGATGTGGCAGAGTTACTGTATACATTTCTGAACAGTTTCCTTATCTTTTCTTTCTTTACCTTAATATTATAGGATGTAGCAAATTACTGTATACATTTCCTGAACAGTTTCCTTATCTTTTCTTTCTTTACCTTAATATTTATAGGATGTAGCAGGTTACTATTATACATTTCTGAACAGTTTCATATCTTTTCTTTGAACAGTTTCCATTTCTGAACAGTTTCTTTTCTTTCTTTTACCTTAATATTGTATGGGATGTAGCTTGTTACTATTATTACATTTCTGAACAGTTTTTCTTATCTTTCTTTCTTTTACCTTAATATTATTGGGATGTGGCAGGGTTACTGTTATGCATTTCTGAACAGTTTCCTTATCTTTTCTTTCTTTACCTTAATATTATAGGATGTTAGCAAATTCTAATTTATATTTTCTAGACAGTTTCTTATCTTTTTTTTCTTTACCTTATATTATGGGATGTAGCATAGTTACTAATATACATTTCTGAACAGTTTCCTTATCTTTTCTTTCTTTACCTTAATATTATGGGATGTGGCAGAGTTACTATTATACATTTCTGAACAGTTTTCATATCTTTTCTTTCTTTACCTTAATATTATGGGATGTAGCAGAGTTACTATTATACATTTCTGAACAGTTTTTCATATCTTTTCTTTCTTTACCTTAATATTATGGGATGTGGCATAGTTACTATTATACATTTTCAACAGTTTCCTTATCTTTCTATATTTCTTTAGCATAGTTACTTAATAGTTTATATCTTTTCTTTTCTTTTATGTTATGGGATGTATAGTTACTATTATACATTTCTGAACAGTTTCCTTATCTTTCTTTCTTTACCTTAATATTATGGGATGTGGCAGAGTTACTATTATACATTTCTGAACAGTTTCCTTTCTTCTTTCTTTTACCTTAATATTATGGGATGTAGCATAGTTACTATATACATTTTCTGAACAGTTTCATATCTTTTCTTTCTTTACCTTAATATTTATGGGGATGTGGCAGATTACTATTGCCACATTTTCTGAACAGTTTCTTATCTTTTCTTTCTTTACCTTAATGTGTGAGATGTGGCAGGTTACTATTATACATTTCTGAACAGTTTCCTTGTCTTTTCTTTCTTTGCCTTATTATTGTGGGATGCCAAGTATAGTTACTGCCATTTCTGAACAGTTTCATATCTTTTTCTTTCTTTACCTTAATATTGTGGGATGTGGCAGGATTACTATTATACATTTCTGAACAGTTTTTCATATCTTTTTTTTTCTTTACCTTAATATTATAGGATGTACTTTAGTTACTATTATACATTTCTGAACAGTTTCATATCTTTTCTTTCTTTAATAATATTATAGGATGTGGCATAGTTACTATTATACATTTCTGAACAGTTTTCTTATCTTTTTCTTTCTTTACCTTAATATTGTAGGATGGCATAGTTGCTATTATACATTTTCTGAACAGTTCCTTATCTTTCTTTCTTTAATATTGTGGGATGTTGGCAGAGTTACTGTTATACATTTCTGAACAGTTTCCTTTCTTTTCTTTCTTTTACCTTAATATTATGGGATGTGGCAGAGTTACTATTATACATTTCTGAACAGTTTCATATCTTTTCTTTCCTTAATAATATTATAGGATGTAGCATAGTTACTGTTATACATTTCTGAACAGTTTCTTATCTTTTCTTTCTTTACCTTAATATTATGGGATGTATAGTTACTATTATACATTTCTGAACAGTTTCCTTATCTTTTCTTTCTTTACCCTTAATATTGTGGGATGTAGCATAGTTACTATTATACATTTTCTGAACAGTTTCTTATCTTTTCTTTCTTTGTAATGTTGTAGGATGTAGCATAGTTACTATTATACATTTCTGAACAGTTTCCTTATCTTTTCTTTCTTTTACCTTAATATTATGGGATTGTGGCAGGTTACTATTATACATTTTCTGAACAGTTTCATATCTTTTCTTTCTTTACCTTAATATTGTGGGATACGGCAGAAGTTACTATTACCCCATTTCTGAACAGTTTCCTTATCTTTTCAACTTTTACCTTAATATTATGGGATGTGGCAGAGTTACTATTATACATTTCTGAACAGTTTTGGGATGGCTTTTCTGCCTTTCTTTACCTTAATATTATGGGATGTGGCTTTTCGTTACTGTATACATTTCTGGTGGTTTATCTTTTCTTTCTTTTACCTTGTTATTATAGGATGTGCAGAGTTACTATTATACATTTCTAGACAACTTTTATATGTGTATAGGATGTTTCATATCAGTTTCCTTATCTTTTTTCTTTACCTTAATATTATAGGATGTGGCAGAGTTACTTTATTATACATTTCTGAACAGTTTCATATCTTTTTCTTTCTTTTACCTTAATATGTATGGGATATGGCAGAGTTTTATTATACATTTTCTGAACAGTTTTCCTTATCTTTTCTTTCTTTACCTTAATATTGTAGGATGTAGCATAATTTACTATTATACATTTCTGAACAGTTTTTTTATCTTTTCTTTCTTTACCTTAATATTATAGGATACCTTTAGTTGCTATTATACATTTCTGAACGGTTTCTTATCTTTTCTTTCTTTTGCTTAATAATAGGATGCATAGTTACTATTATACATTTCTGAACAGTTTCTTATCTTTTCTTTCTTTACCTTGTATTGTAGGATGTGGCAGGTTACTATTATACATTTCTGAACAGTTTCTTATCTTTTCTTTCTTTACCTTATATATTGAGATGTGGCAGAGATTACTATATACATTTCTGAACAGTTTCCTTGTCTTTTCTTTCTTTACCTTAATATTATAGGATGTGGCAGAGTTACTATGTCATTTCTGAACAGTTTCCTTATCTTTTCTTTCTTTACCTTAATATTATGGGATGTAGCAGAGTTACTATTATACATTTCCTGAACAGTTTCCCTTATCTTTCTTCTTTACCTTATCAACTTTATAGGATGGCATGAGTTACTATTATACACATTTTCTGAACAGTTTGCTTATCTTTTCTTTCTTTACCTTAATATTATGGGATGTATATAGTTACTATTATACATTTCTGAGCAGATTTCTCCTCTTTTCTCTATATCTTCTCGGATCTTACATGAGTTACTATTATCCATTTCTGAACAGTTTCCTTCTCTTTCTTTCTGTAATATTATGGGATGTGGCAGGTTACTGTTATACATTTCTGAACAGTTTTCTTATCTTTTCTTTCTTTACCTTAATATTGCTGGGATGTAGCAGAGTTACTATTATACATTTCTGAACAGTTTGATTTCTTTTCTTTCTTTGCATATATTACTAGGATAACATAGTTACTATTATACATTTTCTGAACAGTTTTCATATCTTTTCTTTCTTTATTATGTGTTATGGGATGTGGCAGAGTTACTATTATACATTTCTGAACAGTTTCATATCTTTCTTTCTTTGTAATATTATGGGATGCTAGCATAGTTACTAATATACATTTCTGAACAGTTTCCTTATCTTTTCTTTTCTTTACCTTAATATTATGGGATGTGGCAGGTTACTATTATACATTTCTGAACAGTTTCCTTATCTTTCTTTCTTTATATGTTGGGATGTGGCAGAGTTATATTATACATTTCTGAACAGTTTCATATCTTTTCTTTCTTTACCTTAATATTATGGGATGTAGCATGAATTGCTAATATACGTTTTTCTGAACGGTTTCATATCTTTCTTTCTTTACCGTAATATTATAGGATGTGGCAGAGTTACTGTATACATTTCTAGACAGGTTTCCTTATCTTGCTTTCTTTACCTTATTTCTCTATTGTATGGGATGTAGCATAGTTGCTATTATGCATTTCTGAACAGTTTCATATCTTTTTCTTTTCTTTACCTTAATAACTTGTAGGATGTAGCATGGTGACTATTGTACATTTCGAACAATTTCCTTGTCTTTTCTTTCTTTTACCTTAATATTGTAGGATGTAGCATAGTTACTATTATACATTTCTGGTTTCCTTATCTTTTCTTTACCTTAATATTATGTGGATATTGGCAGAGTTACTATTATACATTTCTGAACAGTTTCCCTTATCTTCTTTCTTTTACCTTAATATTGTAGGATGTGGCATGGTTACTGTTATACATTTTCTGAACAGTTTCTATCTTTTCTTTCTTTACCTTTATTATTATAGGATGTGGCAAATTACTATCATACATTTCTGAACAGTTTCCTTATCTTTCTTTCTTTACCTTAATATTGTAGGATGTGGCAGAGTTATAATACATTCTGAACAGTTTCCTTATCTTTTTCTTTCTTTACCTTAATATTATGGGATGTGGCAGAGTTGCTATTATACATTTCTGAACAATTTCCTTACTCTTTTCTTTCTTTACCTTAATATTGTAGGATGTAGCATGAGTTACTATTATACATTTCTGAACAGTTTCCTTATCTTTTCTTTCTTTACCTTATATTATAGGATATTGGCAGAGTTTACTATTATACATTTTCTGAACAGTTTTCTTATCTTTTCTTTTCTTTACCTTAATATTACCTTGGGATGTAGCATAGTTGCTATTATGCATTTCTGAACAGTTTCCTTATCTTTTTTCTTTTCTTTACCCTTAATATTGTGGATGTAGCATAGTTACTATTTACATTTCTGAACAGTTTTCATCTCTTTTCTTTTCTTTATATGTGCTAGGATGTGGCATGTTACTATTTACATTTGTGAACCCATTTTCTTTTGGCCGTATTGTAGGAACAGTTACTTTACATTTCTATCAGTTTTCTTTCTTTTTCCTTAATATTATGGGATGTGGCAGAGTTACTGTATACATTTCTGAACAGTTTCCTTATCTTTTCTTTCTTTTACCTTAATATTATGGGATGTGTGAGTTACTATTACATTTCTAACAGTTTCATATCTTTCTTTCTTTACCTTAATAATATTGTAGGATGTATGAGTTGCTATTATACATTTCTGAACAAGTTTCTTATCTTTCTTTCTTTTACCTTAATATTGTGGGATGTGCTTGCAGAGTTATATTATACATTTCTGAACGGTTCCTTATCTTTTCTTTTCTTTACCTTAATATTGTGGGATGTGGCAGAGTTACTATTATACATTTCTGAACAGTTTCCTTATCTTTTCTTTCTTTTACCTTAATATTGTAGGATGTGACATAAATTTACTGTATACATTCTAGACAGTTTCATATCTTTCTTTCTTTACCTTAATATTATGGATATTGTAGTTACACAGTGAACAGTTTCCTTATCTTTTCTTTCTTTCTTGAACATTTTTTCATTTCTGAACTGTTTCTTTTTTTTCTTTTACCTTAATATTGTGGGATGTAACATGGTTATTACTGTACATTTCTGAACAGTTTCCATATCTTTTCTTTTCTTTACCTTAATATTGTAGGATGTGGCAGGTTACTATTATACATTTCTGAACAGTTTCCTTTATCTTTTCTTTCTTTACATAATATATGGGATACTTGTAGTTACTATTATACATTTCTGTTTCATAACAGGATTTCTATTATCTTTTTTTTTCTTTTCTTTCTTTTTGTTATGGGATGTGCATAATTTACTGTATACATTTCTGAACAGTTTCATATCTTTTTCTTTCTTTACCTTAATATTATAGGATGTAGCATAGTTACTATTATACATTTCTGAACAGTTTCCTTATCTTTCTTTCTTTACCTTAATATTGTGTGGGATGTGGCAGGTTACTGTATGCATTTCTGAACAGTTTTCCTTATCTTTTTCTTTTCTTTTTTTTGTAATATTTATAGGGATTACTGGCATTTCTGAACGGTTTCTTATCTTTTATACATTTGACCCTTAGGACATAGTTTCCTGTTATACTTTTCTGAACAGTTTTTCTTTTTTCTTTTAATATTATAGGATGTGGCAGTTACTGTATACATGTGACAGTTTCCTTGTCTTTTCTTTGTAATATTATGGGGAACAGTTACTATTATGGGTAGAACAGTTTCCTTATATAACTCTTTTACCTTAATATTATAGGATGTAGCAGAGTTACTATTATACATTTCTGAACAGTTTCCTTATCTTTTCCTTTCTTTCCTTATCTTTTCATTTTAGACAATTTTATCTTTTCTTTCTTTTGTAATATTATGGGATGTGGCAAGTTACTGTATACATTTCAGAACAGTTTCCTTATCTTTCTTTCTTTACCTTAATATTATAGGATGTATATGGTACTATTATACATTTTGAACAATTTTCATATCTTTCTTTTCTTTACACCTTGTGTTGTAGGATGTAGCATATTTACTATTATACATTTCTGAACAATTTCTTATCTTTCTTTCTTTACCTTAATATTATGAGATGTAGCATAGTTGCTATTATACATTTTCTAAAACAGTTTCCTTTCTTTCTTTTCTTTACCCTTGTCTTGTAGGAACCTTAGCATAGTTACTAGGATACATTTCTAACAGTTTCCTTATCTTTTTCTTTACAGGATTTCTGAACATTTCTGAACATTTCCTTTCTTTTCTTTTTTACATAATATTATGGGATGTACTTATAGTACTATTTACATTTTCTGAACAATTTCCTTATCTTTTCTTTTCTTTACCTTAATATTGTAGGATGTGTGAGTTACTATTATACATTTCTGAACAGTTTTCTTATCTTTTTCTTTCTTTACCTTAATATTATAGGATGTAGCATAAAGTTACTGTATACACATTTCTAGACAGTTTCCTTATCTTTTCTTTCTTTACCTTAATATTATGGGATGTAGCATAGTTGCTATTATACATTTCTGAACAGTTTTCCTTATCTTTTCTTTCTTTACCTTAATATTATGGGATGTAGAGTTACTATTATACATTTCTGAACAGTTTCCTTATCTTTTCTTTCTTTACCTTAATATTATGGGATGTAGCATAGTTACTATTATACATTTTCTGAACAGTTTCTTATCTTTTCTTTCTTTACCTTAATATTATGGGATGTAGCATAGTTACTATCCATACATTTCTGAACAGTTTCTTATCTTTTCTTTCTTTTTCTTTCTTTACTTTTCTTTAATATTATTATAGGATGTAGCATAGTTACTATTTATACATTTCTGAACAGTTTCCTTATCTTTTCTTTCTTTACCTTAATATTATGGGATGTGGCATAGTTACTATTATACATTTCTGAACAGTTTCATATCTTTTCTTTCTTTACCTTATTATTGTGGGATGTAGCATAGTTACTGTATACATTTCTGAACAGTTTCCTTATCTTTTCTTTCTTTACCTTAATATTATAGGATGTGGCATAGTTACTATTATACATTTCTGAACAGTTTCATATCTTTTCTTTCTTTACCTTAATATTATGGGATGTAGCATAGTTACTATTATACATTTCTGAACAGTTTCTTATCTTTTCTTTCTTTACCTTAATATTATGGATAGCATGGTTACTATCCTTACATTTCTGAACAGTTTCCTTATCTTTTCTTTTAACCTTAATATTATGGGATGTAACATGTTACTATTATACATTTTCTGAACAGTTTCCTTATCTTTTTCTTTCTTTTACCTTAATATTATGGGATGTGGCAGAGTTACTATTATACATTTCTGAACAGTTTCTTATCTTTTCTTTCTTTACCTTAATATTGGGATGTAGCATAGTTACTATTATACATTTCTGAACAGTTTCCTTATCTTTTCTTTCTTTACCTTAATATGGGATAGGATGTGGCAAATTACTATTATACATTTCTGAACAGTTTCCTTATCTTTTCTTTCTTTACCTTAATATTATGGGATGTGGCATGTTACTATTATACATTTCTGAACAGTTTCTTATCTTTTTCTTTCTTTTACTTAATATTATAGGATGTGGCATATCTTTTTCTTTCTTTACTATTATACATTTCTAGACAGTTTCCTTATCTTTCTTTCTTTACCTTAATATTATGGGATGTGGCAGAGTACTATATACATTTCTGAACAGTTTCCTTATCTTTTCTTTACCTTATAATATTATGGGATGTATAGTTACTATTATACATTTCTGAATTCCTTATCTTTCTTTCTTTACCTTAATATTATGGGATGTAGCATAGTACTATTATACATTTCCTGAACAGTTTCATATCTTTTCTTTACCTTAATATTATGGGATGTACAGCAGAGTTACTATTATACATTTCTGAACAGTTTCCTTATCTTTTCTTTTTTTCTTAATATTCTGGGATGTCTTTTTTTTTTCATTTCTGAACAGTTTCTTATTCTTTTTTTTTTACCTTAATATTATGGGAATTATGAGTTACTTTATACATTTTCTGAACTTCTTTTCCTTTTTTTTTTCTTTCTTTACACCTTATCTTTTTGGGATCTTAGCATAGTTACTATTATTATACATTTCTGAACAGTTTATTATTCTTTTTCTTTCTTTACCTTAATATTTTGGGATCTTCTCCTCTTATTCTTTTTATACATTTTCTTAACTTTTTCCTTTCTTTTCTTTCTTTACCTTTTTGGGATGTTTTCTCTTTTTCTGAACATTATTCTTTTTTTACATTTTCTAGTTACTTTATACATTTCTCTTCCTTATCTTTCTTTTCTTTACCTTAATTTTATGGGATGTGGCTTATTCTACTGCCATTTCATTTCAGTTTATTCTTTTCTTTCTTTACCTTAATATTATGGGATGTCTCCTCTTTATTATTTTTTTTCTGAACAGTTTCCTTATCTTTTTCTTTCTTTCCTTTAATATTATTTTGTGTGATTACTTATTCTTTTCTGAACAGTTTCCCTTATCTTTCTTTCTTTACCTTAATATTTCTTAGGATGTTCTTAGTTCCTCTTATTCATTTTTGAACAGTTTCCCTTATTCTTTTCTTTCTTTCCTTAATATTATTTTTTCTTTTCTATTATACATTTCTATTCTTTTTCCTTCTTCTTTTATTCTTTACCTTTCTTATTCTTTTTTTTTTTCTTAATTTACTATTTTTTTTTTTTTTTCTTTTTCTTATCTTTTCTTTTCTTTCCTCTTATTTTTTTATTTCTTCTAGTTTATTCTTTTTTTCTTCTTCTCCTTATTTATTCTTTTTCTTTTCTTCTCCTCTTATTCTTTTTTTTCTTCTTCTCCTCTTATTCTTTTTTTCAGTTTCTTTATTCTTTTCTTTTTCCTTATTCTTTCTCCAGAGTTCTTATTCATTTTTTCTTTTCTTCTCCTCTTATTCTTTTTTTCTTTAGTTCCTCTTATTCTTTTTTTCTTTTCTTCTCTTTTATTATTTTTTTTTTCTTTACCTCTATTCTTTTTTTCTTCTTTTCCTTTATTTTTTTTTTTTTCTTTTCTTTTTTCTTCTTCTCTTTATTCTTTTTTCTTTCTTTACCTTATTATTTGGGATGTTTCTTCTATCCTTTTTTTTCTTCTCCTTCCTTTATTCTTTCTTTTCTTCTCCTCTTATTCTTTTTTTCTTTTCTCCTCTTCTTATTTTTTCTTTTCTTGAATTCTTATTATTTTTTCTTTCTCCTCCTTTTTATTCTGGGATTTCTTTTTTCATTTCTTATTCTTTCTTTTCTTTCTTTCCTCTTATTTTTGGCAGAGTTTCTTCCTCTTATTCTTTTTTTTTTCTTCTTCTTTTTTTCTTTTTTTTCATTTTCTTTCCTCTTATTCGGTTTTTTTTTTTTCTTTACCTTATTATTTTTTTCTTTTCCTCTTTACTCTTATTCATTTTCTTTCTTCTTTTATTCTTTTTTCTCCTCTTATCCTCTTTTTTTTTTTGGGATTCTTTATTCTTATTCTTTTTTTTCTGAACAGTTTTTTCTTTTTCTTTTTTCTTAATATTCCTTTATTCTTTTTCTTTCTTTCCTCTTATTCTTTTTTTTCTTTTTCTTCCTCTTATTCTTTTTGGGATTCTCCTCTTATTATTTTTTTTCTGAACTTATTCTTTTCTTTTCTTTCTTTCCTTATTATGGGATGTTTCTTCTCTTATTCTTTTTTTTCTTTTCTTTATTCTTTTTTTCTTTCTTCTCCTCTTATTCTTTTTTCTTTCTTTTCTTTTTTCCTCTTGGGATTAGTTTTTTTTACATTTCTTAACGGTTTTCTTTTTTCTTTATTATGGGATCTTTATTCTATCATGTTTTTCTTGAACTTTTTCCTTATTTTTTCTTTCTTTACCTTAATCTTATGGGATTTTTTCTATACATTTATTCTTTTTCCTTTCTTCTTCCTTTATTTTTTTTTTTGGGATCCTCATAGTTTTTTTCTTCTTCATTTCTGTACTTTTTTTCCTTCTCTTTTCTTTTTTTACCTTAATATTTTATTTTTTCTTAAACATTTCTGAACTTATTCTTTTTTTCTTTCTTTCTCTTATTATTTTTTGTTTCTTCTCCTCTTATAAACAGTTTCATTTTTCTTTCAGTTCCTCTTATTCTTTTTTTTCAGTTTCTCCTTTTTTTCTTTTTTTTCTTTCCTTCTTACTTTTTGAACAGTTTTTCTTCCTCTTATTATTTTTTTTCTCTTTCTCTCCTCTTATATTTTTTTTTTCTTTTATTCTTTTTTATTCTATTATTTCTTATTCTTTTTTTTATCTTTTCTTCTTTACCTTCTTATTCCTCTTATTCTTTTTTCTTTTACATTTCTCTCCTTATTCTTTTTTTCTTTTCTCCTCTTATTCTTTTTTTTCTTTTTTCCTTTTATTCTTTTTCTTTTTTTTTTCTTTTTTTCTTCTTTCCTCTTATTATTTTGGGATTTTTCCTATTATACATTTTTCTGAACAGTTTCCTTATCTTACTTTTCTTTTTTCTTTTGGGATTTCAAGTCCCTCTTATACATTTCTTGGTTTTTTGTTTTTTATTTTTCTTTTCTTTTTTCTTCATAGGATGTTTTCTCTTTCTTACTCTTTCTGAACAGTTTCTTATTCTTTTTTTTTCTTTTGTAGCCCTATTATGGGAAAAGGAATATTTTTTATACATTTTTTACAGTGACTTATCTTTTCTTTTCTTTACCTTAATATAATTATTTTTTTCTTTCTTTTTCTTATACATTTCTGAACAGTTTTCCTCCCTCTTTTTTCTTTCTATCTATGTTTTTTTTTAACTTCCCTTTCAAAACAGTTCTTATTCTTTTTTTCTTTCTCAAAACCTCTTTCTGAACTTTTTTCTTTCTTTACCTTAATATTTAGGATGTGGCCTCTTACTACATTTCAAACACTTTACAACTTTCTTTCTTTCCTTATTCTTTTTTGCTTCATTCCCGCAGTTTTTTTTTTTCCCAATTCCTTCCTCTTACGGATCTGACATTTCTGTCTGTTTGTAGATCTGTTCTTTTTTTTTCTTCTTAACCTTTTTATGCTTTGTGGCACACAACGCAAATCATTTCAGACAGTTTCCTTTTTTTTTCTTTCTGTCCTAATACCTGGGAAGAAGAAAAAATAGTTTCTAAATTTAAAAATTTTTTCTTATCTTTTCTTTTTTTGAACAGTTTATATTTTTTCCTTTTATTTTCTGAGAATTTTTTCTGTTGTGTTTCTTATCATTTTTTTTTTTTTTTTTTTTGGGGTTTTGTTTATTACTATGAAAAGAAAAAGGAATATTTATTATCTTCCTTCTTTCTCATATACCTTATTTTTTTTTTAATTTTTTCTCCTTTTATTGGGTTTCTGTTAAAAACGCCTTTCACTTTTTTTTCTTTTGCATTTTTTTCTTCGTTTTTAATCTGTTGAACGATGATCATTTCTGAAATTATCTTTTCTTTTCTTTACCTTAATATTATGGGATTTTACTGTTAATTTTTTACTTATCCTTTTCTTTTTTACCTTTATAAAGGAAGAAAAGTTAATTAAGAGTTGAACAGTTTGCTTTTTTAAATGTTTATATGGAAGTGTGGGATTTTGCATCGAGTATATGCATTCTGCTAATTTTGTTATTTTTTTATTTTTAATTTTATTGAGCTTTGGATGTAGCATAGTTACTTTATTTACATTTCTGTAGGTGTTTCTTATCTTTTGAATTTAAAAGGGATGTTTTATGTAAATTTTTTTTTCTGAACAGTTTCCTTAACTTTTCTTTCTTTACCAATTTGAGAATGTGTTTTTTTTTTTTTTTCTAGACAGTTTTTTTAAGACACATTTATTTACCTTCGTTTTAGGATGTAGCATAGTTACGATTAAAGAAAGAACAGTTTTTTTTTTCTTAACCTTAAATTATTTAATTTTTATTAGAATTTGAAAATGCTTGAATTTAAAAACAGTTTCTTATCTTTTCTTTCGGACATTTTTGTTTTTTTTTTTTTGTTGTTTTTTTTACATTGTTGACAGTTTTTCTTTTTTTCTTTTATTTATTTTTCGTTATTGGATGTGGCAAATTAGAACAAAAAAAAAATTTCTGAACTTTTTTCCAGTTTCTTTTTTTTTTTTCCACACATCATTGTTTGGTCAGCATATGTTTTATTATACATTTCTGAACAGTTTCTTTATCTTTCTTTTCTTCGTTTTAGTATTATGGGATACTGAATTAAATAATTTAGTTTATTTCTTTTTTTTTCTTTCTTTCTTTTACCTTAATCGTTTGTAATGTAGCATAGTTACTTTTTAAATTTCTAAGTTTTTTTTTCTTTTTTTCCTTAATATGTAGGACAAACAAGTTACTTTATACATTTTTAACAGTTTCCTTATCTTTCTTTGTGTTGACCTTAATATTATTGGGATGTAGCATATTTTATTATACATTTTGTTTTGTTTCAAGTTCTTTCTTTTTATTAGAATTTTTTACCTTAATGTTTAAAGTTTCCTTTGTTTTTTTTTACCTTAAATTAAATATATAAATTTCTGAAACAATTTTTTACCTTTATTTTTTTTTTTATACTTATACATTTCTCATCTTTTCTTTCAGCGAATTTTATTTTATTATTATAATTTTTGATAATAGATATCTTTTCTTTCTTTAATGTTAATAGATTAGGATGTCCATATTCCTGATAATTTAAAAAACAGTTTCAAGTTTTTTGCATTTATTTTGTTTTTTTAAAATTTGGCAGAGTTTTTTTTATACATTTCTGAGGTTTTCTTATCTTTTCTTTCTTTTACCTTGGGTATTATGGGGTTTTACAGACAAGTTTATTATCAGTTTTTAGTAACAGTTTCTTATCTTTCTTTCCAGCAAAATGATTATGGGATGTAGTTGACCATTTACATTTCTGACAAAAAAATCTTTAGTTTGAAAAAAATTTTGTTTGTTTTTAATGAAAAGAAAAACTTTTGTTTTCTGAAAAGATTGTAAAGGGATTGAATGTCTGTTTCTGAATCTTTTGTCTTTCTTTACCTTAATTTTGTTATGTGGCAGAGTTACTGTATACATTTCCACCACTATTTGATATATTTTCATAATCTTTATTTCTAAATTATTCATTGTTAGCAAGTTACTATTATACCACAAAGAAGAAATAATTAAATATTATGGGATTGGCAGATCTTTTACATTTCTTTAGTGGCAAATATAACTCATACATATTAAATCATATAAATATATATATATTTCCTTATCTTTCTTACTTTACCTTAATATGCATGGGATTTTGTATAAAAATAATTCCAACATTTTAGAAGCAGGTAGAATCTTTTTTATTTTACCTTATCAATTAGGATGGATAATAGATACTATTATACATTTCTAACAGTTTCCTTATCTTTATTTCTTTACCTTAATATTATGGGATGTCAGAGTTACTGATACATTTGCCCCAGTTAATCTTTCTTTTTATTTTTATTACATTTATAAAAATTTCTTTTCTTTTTTACCTTAATAAAATAAAAGTAACGAGTTACTATTATACATTTCTTAACAGTTTTTGTTACATTCTTTCTTTTTGATTCATGAATTTGATAGGATTAATTTTAAAAATAAGACACAACATGTTTGATTATTTTCTTTCTTTTGAATATATATATGGGATGTAGCATAGTTACTTTTAAACATTTCTGAACAGTTTCATATCTCGCTAGAACAATTAATATTTATGGGAAGTGAGTTACAATATACATTTCTGAACAGTTTTCCTTATCTTTTCTTTCTTCCACCTTAATATGGAATGGGATGTGTGTGTAGTTGAATTAATCATTTCTGAATTGTGTTCCAGATATCTTTTCTGTTTTATTATTAATATTAAGCAAAGTGTCCTATTACATTTCTGAACAGTTTTATTTTTCTTACCTTAAAATTTTTCTTCATTCTGAACAGTTCATATGTTTTCTTTATTCACCTTAATATTTTGGATATATATATACATTTCTGAACAGTTTCATATCTTTTTATACCTTAATATTATGGGATGTGGCAGAGTGAAAAATAAGTTTCCTTATCTTTTCTTTCTTTACCTTAATATTTTGGGAAATCATGTTACTATTATACATTTGTAGGTTTCTTATCTTTTCCTTTTTTTACCTTAATATTTCAGGATGTGGCAGGGGTTACTATTATACATTTCTGAACAGTTTCCTTATCTTTCTTTTCTTTACCTTAATATTATGGATTAGCATAGTCCCATCCATACAATTTGAACAGTTTCATTTTTCTTTCTTTTCTTAAATTTGGAATGGCAGATTTACTATTACAAATTTCTGATAAGTTTCCTTATCTTTTCTTTTTTAGTCCTTAATTTGTATAAATTTGAACAAGTTTACATTTTGAACAGTTTCTATTTTGAACAAATTTTCTTTAATTTGAATATTTGGGATGTTTTGAACAATTTATAATTTTGAACAGTTTCTTATTTTGAACAAATTTTACCTAAATTTGAGGATGTTTCATAGTTTGAACAAATTTCTGAACAATTTGAAATATCTTTTCTTTCTTTACCTTAAATTTTGTAAATTTGAAATTATCTTTTCTTTTTGAAGTTTATTTACATTTCTTTTCTATCTTTTTTTTGAATTTATGGTTTCCATTTTGAACAAATTTCTATAATGTTTTGAACAAAGTTTCATACATTTTGAACAAATTAATAAATTTGAATAATGGGAGTTTCCATTTTGAACAAATTTATACATTTCTGAAACAGTTTCCATATCTTTTCTTTCTTTACCTTAATATTGTAGGATGTGGCAGGTTACTATTATACATTTCTGAACAGTTTCATATCTTTCTTTCTTTACCTTAATATTGCTAGGATGTGGCATAGTTACTCTATACATTTTCTGAACAGTTTCTTATCTTTTCTTTTCTTTTACCTTAATATTTATGGGATGTGGCATAGTTACTATTATACATTTCTGAACAGTTTCATATCTTTTCTTTCTTTTACCTTAAATATTGTGGGATGTGGCAGAGATTACTATTATACATTTCTGAACAGTTTCCTTCTTTTCTTTTTACCATATCATAGTTACTTTCATTTCTGAACAGTTTTTATCTTTTCCTTAATATTATGGGATGTGGCAGGTTACTATTATACATTTCTGAACGGTTTCCTTATCTTTTCTTTTCTTTACCTTAATATTATGGGATGTAGCATAGTTACTATTATACATTTTCAAACAGTTTCATATCTTTTCTTTTCTTTTACCTTAATATTGTGGGATGTGGCATAGTTACTATTAGACATTTCTGAACAGTTTCTTATCTTTTCTTTCTTTACCCCTTAATATTATGGATGTATATAGTTACTAATATACATTTCTGAACAGTTTCATATCTTTTCTTTTCTTTACCTTAATATTATGGGATGTGCATAGTTACTATTATACATTTTCTGAACAGTTTCCTTATCTTTTCTTTCTTTACCTTAATATTGTAGGATGGAAGTTACTATTACATTTAGTTTCCTTATCTTTTCTTTTTTACATTTGGGATGTAACAGTTTCTATTATCATTTCTGAACAGTTTTTCTTTCTTTGTAATATTATTATGTGATGTGGCATAGTTACTATTATACATTTTCTGAACAGTTTCCTTATCTTTTCTTTCTTTACCTTATTATTATGGGATGTAGCAGAGTTACTATTATACATTTTCTGAACAATTTCCTTATCTTTTCTTTCTTTACCTTAATATTATGGGATGTGGCAGGTTACTATTATACATTTCTGAACAGTTTCCTTATCTTTTCTTTCTTTACCTTAATATTATAGGATGTAGCATAGTTACTATTATACATTTCTGAACAGTTTCATATCTTTTCCTTTATGTATAGGATTAGTTCTTTTACTTTCAGTTTTTATCTTTTCTTTTCTTTAATATTATGGGATGTGGCAGGTTCTATAATACATTTCTAGAACAGTTTCCTTATCTTTTCTTTCTTTTGCTTAATATTTATGGGATGATTACTATTATACATTTTGGTTTCCTTATCTTACTTTGTATACATGGGATTTCTGAAATTAACCTACATTTGTATCTTTCTTTCTTTCTTTACCTGAATAATATTGTAGGATGTAGCATAGTTACTATTATACATTTCTGAACAGTTTCATATCTTTTCTTTCTTTACCTTAATATTATGGGATGTGGCAGAGTTACTATTATACATTTCTGAACAGTTTCCTTATATTTTTTCTTTCTTTTACCTTAATATTATGGGATGTAACGTAATTTATACATTTCTGAACATTTCCTTATCTTTTTTTCCTTAATCTTTCTTTCTTTTACATTTCTGAACAATATCTTTTCTTTCTTTGTAGGATGTAACAACATAGTTACTATTATACATTTCTGAACAGTTTTGTATCTTTTCTTTTCTTCCACCTAAATATTATAGGGATGTGGCAGAGTTACCTATTATACATTTCTGAACAGTTTCCTTATCTTTTCTTTCTTTACCTTAATATTATGGGATGTAGCATATTGCTATTTGAACAATTTATATCTTTTCTTTCTTTACCTTAATTTATGGGAACAGTTACTTTGCCCATTTTTCTGAACGTTTTTCTTTTCTTTTTACCTTAATATTATGGGATATGGCAGGTTACTATTATACATTTCTGAACAGTTTCCTTATCTTTTTTCTTTTACCTTAATATTATGGGATGTAACATAGTTACTTCATTACATTTCTGAACAGTTTCATATCTTTCTTTCTTTACCTTAATATTGACCCATGGGATGTATAGAGTTACTATTATACATTTCTGAACAGTTTCATATCTTTTCTTTCTTTCCTTAATATTATGGGATCTACTGTATACATTTCAGAACAGTTTCATATCTTCTTTCTTGCGTGGGATGTGGCAGGTTGCTATTATATACATTTCTGAACAGTTTGTATCTCTTTTCTTTCTTTACCTTAATATTATGGGATGTAGCATAGTTACTATTATACATTTCTGAACAGTTTCCTTATCTTTTCTTTCTTTACCCTTAATATTATGGGATGTGGCATGATTGCTATTATACATTTCTAGACAGTTTCCTTATCTTTTCTTTTCTTTTACCTTAATATTATGGGATGTAGCATAGTTACTATTATACATTTTCTGAACAGTTTCCATATCTTTTCTTTTCTTTACCTTAATAATAATAGGATGGATAATAGAGTTACTGTATGCATTTGAACAGTTTCCTTATCTTTTCTTTCTTTTTACCTTAATATTGTGGGATGTAGCATAGTTACTGTATACATTTCTGAACAGTTTCCTTATCTTTTTTCTTTCTTTTGCGCCTGTTGGATGTAACATAGTTGCTAATGCTTGTTTTCTAGACAGTTTCCTTACCTTTCTTTCTTGCCTTAATATTGTGGGATGTGGCAGGGGTGCTATTATACATTTCTAGACAGTTTCCTTATCTTTTCTTTCTTTACATAATATTATGGGATGTAGGATATTTACTATTATACATTTCTGAACAGTTTCCTTATCTTTTCTTTCTTTACCTTAATATTATGGGATGTGGCAGAGTTACTATTATACATTTCTGAACAGTTTCCCTTATCTTTTCTTTCTTTGTAATATTATGGGATGTGGCAGGTTATATTACACATTTCTGAACAGTTTTCTTATCTTTTCTTTCTTTACCTTAATATTGTGGGATGCCAGCATAGTTGATTTCTATCTTTCTTTTTTACCATTTTGGGATGAACAGTTTCCTTATCTTTTCTTTCTTTATCTTTCTTTCTTTATTAATGGGATGTGGCAGAGTTGCTATTATTTCTAGACACACTTATCTTTTCTTCTTTCTGTGTATGGGACGGTTTTTCATTTCTTTTCTTTCTTTTTTCTTTCTTTACCTTATTATGGGATGTGGCATGGTTACTATTATACATTTCTGAACAGAACATATTTCTTTTTTCTTTTCTGTACATTTCTGAACAGTTTCCTTGTCCTTAATATTATGGGATGTGGCATGAGTTACTATTATACATTTCTAGACAGTTTCCTTATCTTTTCTTTCTTTACCTTAATATTATGGGATGTAGCAGTTAGTTGCTATCTTTTCTTTCTTTACATTTATGGGAACATAGTTTCCTTATAGACTTTTTCTTTCTTTTACCTTAATATTATGGGGATGTGGTTACTATTATACAGAACAGTTTTATCTTTCTTTTGCTACCTTAACATTTCTAGGAACAGTTTCATTTTGAACAGTTTTCTTTCTTTACCTTAATATTATGGGATGTGGCATAGTTACTATTATACATTTTTTCTGAACAGTTTCCTTATCTTTTCTTTCTTTACCTTAATATTGTGGGATGTGGCAGAGTTACTATTATACATTTCTGAACAGTTTCCTTATCTTTTCTTTCTTTACCTTAATATTATAGGATGTAGCATAGTTACTATTATACATTTCTGAACAGTTTCCTTATCTTTTCTTTTCTTTACCTTAATAACCTTAGGATGTAGCATAGTTCTATTATACATTTTTTCTGAACAGTTTCCTTATCTTTCTTTCTTTACCGTAATAATATTGTAGGATGTGGCAGAGTTACTATTATACATTTCTGAACAGTTTCCTTATCTTTTCTTTTCTTTTACCTTAATATTATGGGATGTGGCAGAGTTACTATTATACATTTTCTGAACAGTTTCCTTATCTTTTCTTTCTTTTTCTTAATATGTAATGTGGCTTTTCTTTTCTGGAACTTTCTTTTCTTTCTTTACCTTAATATTATGGGATGTAGCATAGTTACTATTATACATTTCTGAACAGTTTCCTTATCTTTTTTTTCTTTCTTTACACCTTAATATTGTAGGATGTAGCAGGTTACTATTATACATTTCTGAACAGTTTCCTTATCTTTTCTTTCTTTACCTTAATATGTAGGATGGGATGTGGACAGAGTTATCTTTTCTTTCTTTATTATACATTTCTGAACAGTTTCCTTATCTTTTCTTTCTTTACCTTAATATTATGGGATGTAGGATAGTTACTATTATACATTTCTGAACAGTTTGTTATCTTTTCTTTCTTTTACCTTAATATTATGGGATGTGGCAGGTTACTATTATACATTTTCTGAACAGTTTCCTTATCTTTTCTTTCTTTACCTTAATATTATGTGATGTGGCATAATTACTGTGCACATTTTCTAGACAGTTTCTTATCTTTCTTTCTTTACCTTAATATTTATGGGATGTAGCATAGTTACTATTATACATTTCTGAACAGTTTCCTTATCTTTCTTTCTTTACCTTATTATTATGTAGGATGTGGCAGTAGTTACTGCTTTATACATTTCTGAACAGTTTCCTTATCTTTTCTTTCTTTACCTTAATATTATGGGATGTAGCATAGTTACTATTATACATTTCTGAACAGGTTTCCTTATCTTTTCTGTCTTTACCTTAATATTATGGGATGTGCATGAGTTACTATTATACATTTCTGAACAGTTTTCTTATCTTTCTTTCTTTACCTTAATATGGGATGTAGCATAGTTACTATGATACATTTCTGAACAGTTTCCTTATCTTTTTTCTTTTACCTTAATATTATGGGATGGCAGGTTACTATTATACATTTCTGAACAGTTTCCTTATCTTTTCTTTCTTTACCTTAATATTATGGGATGTGGCAGAGTTACTATTACATTTCTGAACAGTTTCCTTATCTTTTCTTTCTTTACCTTAATATTATGGGATGTAGCATAGTTACTATTATACATTTCTGAACAGTTTCCTTCTTTTTTTCTTTCTTTACCTTAATATTATGGGATGGCATAGTTACTATTATACATTTCTGAACAGTTTCATATCTTTTCTTTCTTTACCTTAATATTATAGGATGTATATAGTTTATTATACATTTCTGAACAGTTTATTCAGAGTTACTTTTTTCTTTTTCCTTTTCTTTCTTTACCTTAATATTATGGGATGTAGCATAGTTACTATTAGCATTTCTGAACAGTTTCCTTATCTTTTCTTTCTTTACCTTAATATTATGGGATGTGGCAGAGTTACTATTATACATTTCTGAACAGTTTCCTTATCTTTCTTTCTTTACCTTAATATTATGGGATGTAGCATTTCTGAACAGTTTCATATCTTTTTCTTTCTTTACCTTAATATTATGGGATGTGGCAGAGTTACATTTCATTCTGAACAGTTTCATCATATCTTTTCTTTCTTTACCTTAATATTATGGGATGTGGCAGAGTTACTATTAGTTACATTTTCTGAACAGTTTCTTATCTTTTCTTTCTTTACCTTAATATTGTGGGATGTAGCATAGTTACTACTATACATTTTTCTGAACAGTTTCCTTATCTTTTCTTTCTTTACCTTAATATTATGGGATGTGGCAGAGTTACTATTATTTACATCTTTCTTTCTTTCTGAACAGTTTCCTTATCTTTTCTTTCTTTCCTTAATATTATGGGATGTGAGTTACTATTATACATTTCTGAACAGTTTTTATCTTTTCTTTCTTTACCTTAATATTATGGGATGTGGCATAGTTACTATTATACATTTCTGAACAGGTTTCATATCTTTTTCTTTCTTTACCTTAATATTATGGGATGTAGTTACTATTTATACATAGTTACTATTATAGGACATTTCCTGAACAGTTTCTTATCTTTTTCTTTACCTTAATATTATGGGATGTGCATATTACTATTATACATTTCTGAACAGTTTCCTTATCTTTTCTTTCTTTACCTTAATATTATGGGATGGCATTCCTATTAGTTACTATTATACATTTCTGAACAGTTTCCTTATCTTTTCTTTCTTTACCTTAATATTATGGGATGTAGCATAGTTACTATTATACATTTCTGAACAGTTTCCTTATCTTTTCTTTTTTCTAATATTTTCAAGTTTTACACATTTTTGAACAGTTTCTTGTCTTTTCTTTCTTTATTATGGGATGTGGCAGAGTTACTATTATACATTTCTGAACAGTTTCCTTATCTTTTCTTTCTTTACCTTAATATTATGGGATGTGGCAGAGTTACTATTATACATTTCTGAACAGTTTTCATATCTTTTCTTTCTTTACCTTAATATTATGGGATGTAGCATAGTTACTATTATACATTTCTGAACAGTTTCCTTATCTTTTCTTTCTTTACCTTAATATTATGGGATGTGGCAGAGTTACTATTATACATTTCTGAACAATTTTCATATCTTTTCTTTCTTTTACCTTAATATTATGGGATGTGGCAGAAGTTTCCCTTATCTTTCTTTCTTTACTATTTATACATTTCTGAACAGTTTCCTTATCTTTTCTTTCTTTACCTTAATATTATGGGATGTAGCATAGTTACTATTATACATTTCTGAACAGTTTCCTTATCTTTTCTTTCTTTACCTTAATATTATGGGATGTAGCAGAGTTACTATTATACATTTCTGAACAGTTTCCTTTGTAATATTATGGGATTATCTTTTCTTTCTTTACCTTAATATTATGGGATGTAGCATAGTTACTATTATACATTTCTGAACAGTTTCCTTATCTTTTCTTTCTTTACCTTAATATTATGGGATGTGGCAGAGTTACTATTATACATTTCTGAACAGTTTCCTTATCTTTTCTTTCTTTACCTTAATTATCATTTCTGAACAGTTTCCTTATCTTTTCTTTTTCTTTACCTTAATATTATGGGATGTGGCAGATTACTATTATACATTTCTGAACAGTTTCCTTATCTTTTCTTTCTTTACCTTAATATTATGGGATGTGGCATAGTTTTTATTATACATTTCTGAACAGTTTCTTATCTTTTTTCTTTCTTTACCTTAATATTATGGGATGTGGCATAATTACTATTATACATTTCTGAACAGTTTTCCTTATCTTTCTTTCTTTACCTTAATATTATGGGATGTGGCAGAGTTACTATTATACATTTCTGAACAGTTTCATATCTTTTTCTTTCTTTACCTTAATATTATGGGATGTAGCATAGTTACTATTATACATTTCTGAACAGTTTCATATCTTTTTTTCTTTACCTTAATATTATGGATGTAGCATAGTTACTATTATACATTTCTGAACAGTTTCCTTATCTTTTTTTCTTTACCTTAATATTATAGGATGTAGCATAGTTACTATATACATTTCTGAACAGTTTCCTTATCTTTTCTTTCTTTACCTTAATATTATGGGATGTGGCAGAGTTACTATTACATTTCTGAACAGTTTCCTTTTAATAGTAGGATGTAGCATAGTTACTATTATACATTTCTGAACAGTTTCCTTATCTTTTCTTTCTTTACCTTAATATTATGGGATGTGGCAGAGTTACTATTATACATTTCTGAACAGTTTCCTTATCTTTTCTTTCTTTACCTTAATATTATGGGATGTAGCATAGTTACTATTATACATTTCTGAACAGTTTCCTTATCTTTTCTTTCTTTACCTTAATATTATGGGATGTGGCAGAGTTACTATTATACATTTTCTGAACAGTTTCCTTATCTTTTCTTTCTTTTACCTTAATATTATGGGATGTAGCATAGTTACTGTATACATTTCTGAACAGTTTCCTTATCTTTCTTTCTTTACCTTAATATTATGGGATGTAGCATAGTTACTATTATACATTTCTGAACAGTTTCCTTATCTTTTTCTTTCTTTACCTTAATATTATGGGATGTGCTTAGAGTTACTATTATACATTTCTGAACAGTTTCCTTAATATTATGGGATAGGATAGTTACTTTTCATTTTGAACAGTTTTTATCTTTCTTTCTTAACCTTAATATTATGGGATGTAGCAGAGTTACTATTTATACATTTCTGAACAGTTTCCTTATCTTTTCTTTTTCTTTACCTTAATATTATGGGATGTAGCATAGTTACTATTATACATTTCTGAACAGTTTCCTTATCTTTCTTTCTTTTTACCTTAATATTATGGGATGTGGCAGAGTTACTATTATACATTTCTGAACAGTTTCCTTATCTTTTCTTTCTTTACCTTAATATTATGGGATGTAGCATAGTTACTATTATACATTTCTGAACAGTTTTTATCTTTTCTTTCTTTACCTTAATATTATAGGATGTAGCATAGTTACTATTATACATTTCTGAACAGTTTCCTTATCTTTTCTTTCTTTACCTTAATATTATGGGATGTGGCAGGTTACTATTATACATTTCTGAACAGTTTCCTTATCTTTTCTTTCTTTACCTTAATATTTATGGGATGTAGCATAGTTACTATTATACATTTCTGAACAGTTTTCATATCTTTTCTTTCTTTACCTTAATATTATGGGATGTGGCAGTGTTACTATTATACATTTCTGAACAGTTTCCTTATCTTTTTCTTTCTTTACCTTAATATTATGGGATGTAGCATGAGTTACTATTATACATTTCTGAACAGTTTCATATCTTTTCTTTCTTTACCTTAATATTATGGGATGTGGCAGAGTTACTATTATACATTTCTGAACAGTTTCCTTATCTTTTCTTTCTTTACCTTAATATTATGGGATGTGGCATAGTTACTATTATACATTTCTGAACAGTTTCCATATCTTTTCTTTCTTTACCTTAATATTATGGGATGTGGCATAGTTACTATTATACATTTCTGAACAGTTTCCTTATCTTTTCTTTCTGTCTTTACCTTAATATTATGGGATGTAGCAGAGTTACTATTATACATTTCTGAACAGTTTCCTTATCTTTTCTTTCTTTACCTTAATATTATGGGATGTAGCATAGTTACTATACATTTCTGAACAGTTTCCTTATCTTTTCTTTCTTTACCTTAATATTATGGGATGTGGCAGAGTTACTATTATACATTTTTTGAACAGTTTTTATCTTTTCTTTCTTTACCTTAATATTATGGGATGTGGCATAGTTACTATTATACATTTCTGAACAGTTTCTTATCTTTTCTTTCTTTACCTTAATATTATGGGATGTGGCAGAGTTACTATTATACATTTCTGAACAGTTTATTTATCTTTTCTTTCTTTACCTTAATATTATGGGATGTGGCAAGTTACTATTATACATTTCTGAACAGTTTCCTTATCTTTTCTTTCTTTACCTTAATATTATGGGATGTGGCAGAGTTACTATTATACATTTTCTGAACAGTTTCCTTATCTTTCTTTCTTTACCTTAATATTATGGGATGTAGTTATATACATTTCTGAGTTACAATTATACATTTCTGAACAGTTTCCTTATCTTTTCTTTCTTTACCTTAAGGTCTTTATTTTGGGATAACTAGCTTAGTTACTATTTATACTATACATTTCTGAACAGTTTCCTTATCTTTTCTTTCTTTACCTTAATATTATGGGATGTAGCAGAGTTACTATTATACATTTCTGAACAGTTTCCTTATCTTTTCTTTCTTTACCTTAATATTATGGGATGTAGCAGAGTTACTATTATACATTTCTGAACAGTTTCCTTATCTTTTCTTTCTTTACCTTAATATTATGGGATGTAGCATAGTTACTATTATACATTTCTGAACAGTTTCCTTATCTTTTCTTTCTTTACCTTAATATTATGGGATGTGGCAGAGTTACTATTATACATTTCTGAACAGTTTCCTTATTTTCTTTCTTTCTTTAATATTGTATGTGGTGAGGATGTAGCATAGTTCTTTATCTTTTCTTTCTTTTACTTTTAATATTATATGTGCATGAATTTTTCTATACATTTCCTTATCTTTTCTTTCTTTCTTTACCTTAATATTATGGGATGTGGCAGAGTTACTATTATACATTTCTGAACAGTTTCCTTATCTTTTCTTTCTTTACCTTAATATTATGGGATGTAGCATAGTTACTATTATACATTTCTGAACAGTTTCCTTATCTTTTCTTTCTTTACCTTAATATTATGGGATGTGGCATAGTTACTATTATACATTTTCTATCTTTTCTTTTTTTTACCTTAATATTATGGGATTCTGAACAGTAGCACATTTCTGAACAGTTTCTTTATCTTTCTTTCTTTTACCTTAATATTATGGGATGTAGCATAGTTACTATTATACATTTCTGAACAGTTTCCTTATCTTTTCTTTTTTTACCTTAATATTATGGGATGTAGCATAGTTACTATTATACATTTCTGAACAGTTTCCTTATCTTTTCTTTCTTTACCTTAATATTATGGGATGTAGCATAGTTACTATTATACATTTCTGAACAGTTTCATCTTTTCTATTATGGGACATTTGAACAGTTTTTATCTTTTCTTTCTTTACCTTAATTTCTGGGAACAGTTTACATTTCTGAAGTTTATCTTTTCTTTCTTTACCTTAATATTATGGGATGTGGCAGTTACTATTATACATTTCTGAACAGTTTCTTATCTTTTCTTTCTTTACCTTAATATTATGGGATGTGGCATAGTTACTATTATACATTTCTGAACAGTTTCCTTATCTTTTCTTTCTTTACCTTAATATTATGGGATGTAGCATAGTTACTATTATACATTTCTGAACAGTTTCCTTATCTTTTTCTTTCTTTACCTTAATATTATGGGATGTGGCATAGTTACTATTATACATTTCTGAACAGTTTCCTTATCTTTTCTTTCTTTACCTTAATATTATTGTGGGGATTTCTGAACAGTTTCCTTGGCATTATGGGTTACTACTATACATTTCTGAACAGTTTCCTTATCTTTTCTTTCTTTACCTTAATATTATGGGATGTAGCAGAGTTACTATTATACATTTCTGAACAGTTTCCTTATCTTTTCTTTCTTTACCTTAATATTATGGGATGTGGCAGAGTTACTATTATACATTTCTGAACAGTTTCCTTATCTTTTCTTTCTTTTACCTTAATATTATGGGATGTAGCATAGTTACTATTATACATTTCTGAACAGTTTCCTTATCTTTTCTTTCTTTACCTTAATATTATGGGATGTAGCATAGTTACTATTATACATTTTCTGAACAGTTTCCTTATCTTTTCTTTCTTTACCGTAATATTATGGGATGTGGCAGAGTTACTGTATACATTTCTGAACAGTTTCTTATCTTTTCTTTCTTTACCTTAATATTATGGGATGTAGCATAGTTACTATTATACATTTCTGAACAGTTTCCTTATCTTTTCTTTCTTTACCTTAATATTATGGGATGTAGCATAGTTACTATTATACATTTCTGAACAGTTTCCTTATCTTTTCTTTCTTTACCTTAATATATTATGGGATGTATACATTTCTAGTTCCTATTATACATTTCTGGGAACAGTTTCCTTATCATTTCTTTCTTTACCTTAATATTATGGGATGTAGCATATTTTACTATCTTTTCTTTCTATACATTTCTGAACAGTTTCCTTATCTTTTCTTTCATATTTACCTTAATATTATGGGATGTGGCAGGTTACTATTATACATTTCTAGACAGTTTCCTTATCTTTTTCTTTCTTTACCTTAATATTATGGGATGTAGCATAGTTACTATTATACATTTCTGAACATTTCTTTCTTTCTTTACCATTATGGGATTCCTATTATACATTTTAGACAGTTTCTTATCTTTCTTTTCTTTACCTTAATATGGGATGTGCATAGTTACTATTATACATTTCTGAACAGTTTCCTTATCTTTTCTTTCTTTACCTTAATATTATGGGATGTGGCAGAGTTACTATTATACATTTCTGAACAGTTTCCTTATCTTTTCTTTCTTTACCTTAATATTTATGGGATGTAGCATAGTTACTATTATACATTTCTGAACAGTTTCTTATCTTTTTTTCTTTACCTTAATATTATGGGATGTGGCATAGTTACTATTATACATTTCTGAACAGTTTTCCTTATCTTTTCTTTCTTTACCTTAATATTATGGGATGTAGCATAGTTACTATTATACATTTCTGAACAGTTTCCTTATCTTTTCTTTCTTTACCTTAATATTATGGGATGTGGCAGAGTTACTATTATACATTTCTTAACAGTTTCCTTATCTTTTCTTTCTACCTTAATATTATGGGATGTGGCATAGTTACTATTATACATTTCTGAACAGTTTTCTTATCTTTTCTTTCTTTACCTTAATATTATGGGATGTAGCATAGATTACTATTATACATTTCTGAACAGTTTCCTTATCTTTCTTTCTTTACCTTAATATTATGGGATGTGGATGAGTTACTATTATACATTTACATTTATCTTTTCTTTCTTACCTTTATTATGGGATGTGGCAGAGTTACTATTATACATTTCTGAACAGTTTCCTTATCTTTTCTTTCTTTATATTATGGGATGTAGCATAGTTACTACTATACATTTCTGAACAGTTTCCTTATCTTTTCTTTCTTTACCTTAATATTATGGGATGTAGCATAGTTACTATTATACATTTCTGAACAGTTTCATATCTTTTCTTTTCTTTACCTTAATATTATGGGATGTGGCAGAGTTACTATTATACATTTCTGAACAGTTTCCTTATCTTTTCTTTCTTTACCTTAATATTATGGGATGTAGCATAGTTACTATTATACATTTCTGAACAGTTTCCTTATCTTTTCTTTCTTTACCTTAATATTATGGGATGTGGCAGAGTTACTATTATACATTTCTGAACAGTTTCCTTATCTTTTCTTTCTTTACCTTAATATTATGGGATGTAGCATAGTTACTATTATACATTTCTGAACAGTTTCCTTATCTTTTCTTTCTTTACCTTAATATTATGGGATGTAGCATAGTTACTATTATACATTTTCTGAACAGTTTCCTTATCAGTTTTTCTTTCTTTACCTTAATATTATGGGATGTGGCATAGTTACTATTATACATTTCTGAACAGTTTCCTTATCTTTTTCTTTCTTTACCTTAATATTATGGGATGTAGCATAGTTACTATTATACATTTCTGAACAGTTTCCTTATCTTTTCTTTCTTTACCTTAATATTATGGGATGTGGCAGAGTTACTATTATACATTTCTGAACAGTTTCATATCTTATCTTTTTTCTTTGGGACCTTACCTTAATATTATGGGATTAGCATAGTTACTGGGATTTACCTTAATATTATGGGATGTAGTTGCTATTATACATTTCTGAACAGTTTCCTTATCTTTTCTTTCTTTACCTTTAATATTATGGGATGTAGCATAGTTACTATTATACATTTCTGAACAGTTTCCTTATCTTTTCTTTCTTTACCTTAATATTATGGGATGTGGCATAGTTACTATTATACATTTCTGAACAGTTTCCTTATCTTTTCTTTCTTTACCTTAATATTATGGGATGTAGCATAGTTACTATTATACATTTCTGAACAGTTTCCTTATCTTTTCTTTCTTTACCTTAATATTATGGGATGTAGCATAGTTACTATTATACATTTCTGAACAGTTTCCTTATCTTTTCTTTCTTTACCTTAATATTATGGGATGTGGCAGAGTTACTATTATACATTTCTGAACAGTTTCCTTATCTTTTCTTTCTTTACCTTAATATTATGGGATGTGGCAGAGTTACTATTATACATTTCTGAACAGTTTCCTTATCTTTTCTTTCTTTACCTTAATATTATGGGATGTGCAGTTAGTTACTATTATACATTTCTTTGAACAGTTTCCTTTTCTTTTCTTTCTTTTCTTTCTTAATATTATGGGATGTGGCATAGTTACTATTATACATTTCTAGACAGTTTCCTTATCTTTTTTTCTTTCTGATGGGACAGTTACTTTACATTTTAACAGTTTTTTCTTTTCTTTCTTTACCTTAATATTATGGGATGTAGCATAGTTACTATTATACATTTCTGAACAGTTTCCTTATCTTTTCTTTCTTTACCTTAATATTATGGGATGTAGCAGAGTTACTATTATACATTTCTGAACAGTTTCTTATCTTTTCTTTCTTTACCTTAATATTATGGGATGTAGCATAGTTACTATTATACATTTCTGAACAGTTTCCTTATCTTTTCTTTCTTTACCTTAATATTATGGGATGTGGCAGAGTTACTATACATTTCTGAACAGTTTCCTTATCTTTTCTTTCTTTACCTTAATATTATGGGATGTAGCATAGTTACTATTATACATTTTCTGAACAGTTTCCTTATCTTTTCTTTCTTTACCTTAATATTATGGGATGTGGCAGAGTT